ACAATGGAGCTCAAAATTTCCAAGGCTGAGCAAGAACAGCTGCTTAAGTGAGCTTTGTCTCATTTTATGACCTTTTTCCTGCACCGGTTGTCAAGCAAATCACTACAGTTAAGGGAACCGCGCGGTCGTTAAGTGAACCCAGCTTCCCGCGTTGACTTTGCTTGTCGGGAGCCGTTTGGGAACGTTACAAAAGGTGATCACGTGACCCCGGGACACTGTGACCGTCATAAGTATAAGTCAGTTGCCAAGTGTGTCTGAATTTTTATCACACGACCGACTGCTGCGAAGGTTGTAAAACGGCCATAAGTCACTTTTTTTCCCAATGCCGTCGTAACTTCAAATGGCCACTAAATGAAAGGTTGTAAATTGAGGCCTGTACTGTACAGTCACTGAACAAGGCCAGAGTATCTTAACTTTTTTTTTTGAACATGCCTACATAATCATTATGAACATGTTACACTGCTGGAAATAATTCTCTAATTCCAGAAGATCAATTTGTATACGCGGCATCCATAACAGAGGGGGGGGGAATAAATTATTTTGACGCAGTTTTCATCTAAGGAAACCCTGCCCAGAGAAATAAAAAATAAATTTCCACCTCAGGGTCAATCAGATTGTTTCAGAGGCTCTGCTGCCGAACTCGGCTAAATTGCATGAGATTTTGGTGTTGTTTTGTTTAAAAAAAATCCCAAACAATAAACTGAAAATTGAGCCTGCTAGATTTTGCTGTATCACGACAAGCCTCTTTGATAGAAGCTTTTCAATTGGCTATGCCCAGGGATGGGGGGGAAGATGGGAGGCTGTATTTTCTAGCTTCGTACAGTGCCAGCTCTGTTCAACAAATTGGAAGGGGGGGAAAAAATCTTCATTTTGCTGCACAAGAACAAGAGGCATATGATTAAGCCTTTTCAAAGCCAGAGAGAGAGAGAGAGAGAAAGAGGACATTTAAACTATCACTCTATCTGTTCTTTAAAACCATGCATCGTATTTCATTGCACATTTCTTTCCCTCTTTCTTTCTTTCCTTCCTTCCTTTCTTTTTCCTTCCTTCTCTGTTTCCCTTCCTTTTTTCCCCCAGCTCTTCCTTTGATAAGTCTTATGATTAAAGCCGGCCTCCATTTCCTATACATGCAATCAAGTGAAAAAGAATCCACAGCCTTGCATCAGAAAATGGAGGCACAAAGCATAGTCACTTGGCTATTAATAGCCGGCTTGCAGCTCCCGGTGGCAATGCCAGGGAAGGTGGCAAACCGAGGCCTGCTCGGCTTAAAGGCGCAGATCATGAGAGGCGCAGATGGCAAGGCAGGGGTAGATTGTTGGGCTAAGCAAAATAGAAGAATAAATACGGTCTAACCCCTTCCAAAGGACAGATTTCAAAATAAGATCTAACCTCTTCCAGAACATCCGATTTTGTTTTAATAGTTATCCCAGTTAAAAACCAGTGATTCTCAACCTTGGCACAACTTTACGATATGTGGACTTCAACTCCCAGAATTCCTCAGTCAGCCATGTTAACTGAATAAGGCTACATAATCTTAACATCAATTTGCCTTCTAAACATGCTATATACATAATCAAGGACATTATTAATATACACAGTCTTGGAAATAATTTTTAATTCCAGCAAATCTATACAGTATGCATGGGGTATGCAAATCTATACAGTATGCAAATTAATTTCAGTTGTTCAGTTCACCATGCTGACTGGGGAATTCTGGGAGTTCAAGTCCACAGTGGTTGGGGAATTCTGGGAACTGATGTCCAAACTTTTTAAAGCGGCCAAAGTTGAGAAACATTGGAGTGCAGTTTTGTGACATCAATCAATCAATCAATAAACTTGGATAGAAAATTGTCAGTGAATGAGTTTCTATTTTCTTAAGAACTAAACGAAATATCCTGAAAATTGCTCCTCTGTTAAAAAACAAACAAACAGGATAAGAATCCCCTCTCTTGGCTTGCTCCTGCCTTAATAAGCCAACATTGTAAGCCATTCAGATATAATACCAGTGACATAATACTTCCTGGTTTCTATGCGCGTATCCAACTTGGCAACTGTAGGATATGTGGACTTCAACTCCCAGAATCCACTTCCCACACACAGGTTGAGGAATCCTGGGGGTTGAAGTCCATACTGCATTAGCAGCATTATATCAAACAAATATAATCTAGTTCACTGGTTCTAAATAGGGCAGAATTGTGGTAAGTTAGCTTATCTTTGGGACCATATTAAGCCTGGACAATACAGAATATCTGTAAATTGGGGCATCTTTACTGATTTTTAATTTATAGCAAAATATAAACTGACTTTGCTACATGGGAAAAAATTCCACTGTTCTACCAGGATATGGTTTAACTATAAGCAGACTTAGATCCAAAGTAAAAATCAGTGTAAAACAACCGCAATTCGCCAAGGAAACAAGCCAATCAACCAAACTGGGGAAAATCAATTTGTTTTCCTGGCATTTGGTATGTTTTCATTTTTAAAGCAAAGGTGCGGATCTTTGCTTTAAATTTTTCAGAGCACGAAAAGCTATTTCCAACTGAGAAGCAGCCCAAATATTAACTATTGATCCTCGGGAGGGTTTATCGGGATTGCCCTCCATCGGTTCTTCTCTAAAAAGCCGAAATTGTGCAACTGCGTTTTAATAAACAAACGTTATGAAATGGCGGCTTATTTTGCCAAAACAGCTCTTCCCCAGCGTCTTGCTAGCAATTATGCAAAAGCAAGACAAAGAAATAAAAGGTTTGTGTCACACACCTTTCCGGTGTTATGCGCCATCTTTTGGCGGCTCTACGTCAAACATGAACGATGTACAAACTGGGCCCCAATAAAGGACAAATTTAGGTTCTTTTTTTTTAAAAAAAAATATGTGAATAGCGGCTGGGCTATTTTGCATAATTTATTCAGCTTTTAGCAAAGAAGAACAAGTACTTTTGCAGTGGCGCTGAGAACTTGCTTCCTGGGCACTAAAATTATCTTTAATTTGCTATTCTGGTCTCTTGCGATGTCACTGCATATGGCTGCCACCCACGGGTTGTTTTTCCCCAGGCGCTGCTCTGTAAACCTTAAGGACTAGAAACTTGCAAAGTGCTGAGAAGAGAAAGCCCAGCCTGCAGAATTTCAGATTGGTGAAAGATGATTCGCAACACTGCAAAATTCGTGTCATCTGCCAGGGAACTCAAAATATTGGCGTAGGGGATTATTTATCATCATTTTATTAAAAGCTTTACAAAAGCAGGATACACATTTATTTCAGGGGACTGCATAAGATGAAAGTAATCAGGGAGAAATGAGGGAATCAAGCTTAAATATGAGCCTCTTCTAAAATTAAAAATAAACTCTACTCTCTTCCGGCTAAGGTGGTGTAGGAGTTTTCTCACTACCCTGAATTTAAGCTTCATAAAAAGCAGAGAAAAGATTACACGCACCAGGAAGTCTAATACTGAAGTTGCAAATACTACCTTAAACCTTTAGAAGAGAATATTTGTCGCTCATAATTGTCTGTGTGTCCTTGGTGTTCTCTGAGCGTGGTTGTTTTCTTGGAGACGTTTCATTACCCAACTAAGTTACATCATCAAGGTGATTATGTTGGACAACTGATGATGCAACCTAGATGAAAGATTTGCAAGCAAATAACCAAGCATCAAGAACTTCACACTTAAGCGTTTGGTTTGGGTTTTAGCCTAGCGCATTGCTTTCTCAGCTCAACCCACCTCACAGGGTTGTTGTGGGGAAAGGAGGTGGAGGAAGGCGGTGTGTAGGTAGTGTTCACCCCCTTGAGTTATTTGTAAAAATAATAAAAGTGGGACACAAATACATAAATAAAGTCAATGCAAGATATCTTGTGGATTCCCTGGTGTTCTCTGAGCTTGGCTGTTTTCCTGCAGATGTTTCATTACCAAACTAGGTAACATCATCAGTGCCAGCAGCACTTAACATGACATCTACTTTGGCAGTGAAACATCTGCAAGAAAGCAACCCAGCTTAGAGAGCACCAAGGAACCCAGTTTAAGTCCGAGATATACATATTCCCTTCTATGCAGATGTCTTGGCTTATAAACCAGGATTGGTGGCTCAGTGTGGCTCAGAGGAAGACATCAATGACTAGAAGATGGATCATCTACAGTTGGAAAATGCAAGGAGGCCATTCACATGAAAACTTTAGTTTAGTTTTGGCATGTTAAGAGAATACTTGGTTTGTAGACCACAGCTCATGGTTGAGCGATTGGGGTTTTAGTCAATGGTGACTTAGTCAAACCACGGTTTAGGATATTGTGTGAACTCAGCTGATGATATAGAACAGGGGTCCCCAAACCTGGCAACTTTAAGAGCTATGCTGGCTGGAGAATTCTGGGAGTTGAAGTCCACGAGTCTTAAAAGTTGCCAAGTTTGAAGATCTCTGATAGAGAAGATGGAATCTGGGTCAACTACAACAAAACCCATTTCTGAGGGAACATATTTACAAATACGTACATATGTTTCTATATATTTCTAAGGATAACAAAAAATATTTAGGGAGTTAGCTAAAATATTTATTTTATTTAAAAATAAATAAAATAAAGGAACGTCTGTCATTACCTCCAAGGCACCTGAGGGTAGAACAAGAAGCAATGGGTGGAAACTAATCATGGAGAGAAGCAACTTAGAACTGAGGAGAAATTTCCTGACAGTTAGAACAATTAATCAGTGGAACAGAAGTTGCCTCCAGAAGTTGTGAATNCTGTGGGGGCGATATGCTGACTCTGCAAACCGCTTAGAGAGGGCTGAAAGCCCTATGAAGCGGTATATAAGTCTAACTGCTATTGCTATTGCTAATTGATAGTCCAGCATCAGCGCACTCTGATACAAAATGCTGTGGCCCCCTTCCCCAATCCACTGCCCTCCAGCTTCCCAAAAATCCCCAGGGGCTCAGCCAATTGGAGAATGCCAGGTTGGGAAAAGCAGAGTTCAGGAGCCACCTGCTGCCGACTCCCCCCATTACCCCCCATCTGCCTTCTCACCTGTGAAGTCCCCGTGATCATGTTCTTGATGAAATCTCTATGGCCTGGAGCGTCAATGATGGTGATGTAATACTTGGTGGTCTCAAACTTCCAGAGGGAAATGTCAATGGTGATTCCTCGCTCGCGTTCGGCTTTCAATTTGTCCAGCACCCAGGCATACTTGAAGGAACCCTTTCCCATCTGGCAGGTAGGGAAAAGCAAAGAGAAAAGAGAACAACAGGTTGGGTACCGGTAGAAGATGAAGATGAAAATTCCCAGCCAAGAAAGTTGCATCTGGTCCCTAAAACCATGAATTCTGCTGCTGGGTCTCTCAAAAGTAAGACGTTCCCCGTAAAGTGAAAAATCTTGAATAAACAGGTAGTCCTTGACTTATAACCATTCATTTGAGTGACAATGGGACTGAAAAGAGCCGGACAAGCAATGGATGGAAACTAATCGAGGAGAGAAGCAACTTAGAACTGAAGAGAAACTTTCTGACAGTGAGAACAATTAATCAGTGGGACAACTTGCCTCCAGAAGTTGTGGATGCCCCAACACTGGAAGTTTTTAAGAGGATGTTGGATATCCATTTGTCTGAAATGGTATAACGTCTCCCGCCTGAGCAGGGGGTTGGACTAGAAGACCTCCAAGGTCCCTTCCAACTATATTATTCTATTCTAAACGAGAGGGACTTATGGCCACTTTTTCACACTTACAACCACTGTAGCCACTTCAGGGTCATGTGATTGAAATTCATATGGCAACTTACATGTATTTTTGATGGGTAAAGATAGCATCCCAGGCAATGGTGAAATCTAAATTTTTTTGCCATGTTCTGTGGGCGTGGCTTGGTGGGGGGTCATGTGACTGGGTGGGCGTGGCCAGCCTTTTTTCACTTTTTAAAGCATTTTTTTCCTGCCGGTTTGGGTGAATAGNGGAAGGAAGAAAAAGGGAGGAAGAGAAGATGAGGGGCCTTGAGAAGGAGAGAGGGAGGGAGGGAGGGAGGGAGGGAGGGAGGAAGGACAGGATAAGGGTCAGAGCGAGGGAGGGAAGGGAGGGAGGGAGAGAAGGAAGGAAATAAAGGAGAGAAGGAGGGAATGGCAGGATGTGGGAGGGTGGTAAGGAGAGGGAGGGAGGAAATAAAAGAGAGAAGAAAGGAAGGAATGACAGGATGAGGGAGGGAGGGAAGAGGGAAGAGGGAGGGAGGGGGAGGGAGGGAGGAAGGAAAGGGAGGGAAGGAAGAGGGAGGGGAAGAAGGAAGGAAGTGAGAGAAAAGAAAGGAGGGAAGGAATGAAAGAAAGAAGGAAGTGGGAGAAAGGGAAGGGAGGGAAGAAGGAATGAAAGAAGGAAGGAAAAAGGAATGAAAGAAGGAAGGAAAAAGGAAGGAAGAGACCAATCAATTCCATCTGCTACCAGAGCAGGTGACTACTCTTCCTTAAATGTTTTAACCTGGCCCTAAATTAAAACAAAATTGCTTCCTGGGGGTCCCGAATTGAGAAGCTGGGTTAATATGAACAGCACTCCCCGTTTGTTTGTTTTTAAAGGGGGGGGAACCTTCCTTTTTGGAGAGGATGCAGAAAAGGGAACCCCTTTGCTTCTCTGAATGCCAAGGAAGGTTAACTTAGGCTGCTACACCTCCTTTTTGACCTCAGGGACAAATAAGGAGGCCACTTAATTTGAACCACATAGCAGAGCTAGGCCGAATAATCGGAATTTAAGCCAGGGCTTTCTAGAACAGGCAGGAGCTTCTGCCCCGAGCCAGAAAATTAAGCATTTTGTCTGTTCCTTCATGAGCCCCATTTCCCCAGAACCTTTGTTTAAATGAGGGTTCAAGTTGGTGGCCTTCTCTTTTCCTGACACCCCACTACCTCAAAGTCGCATGGTTTAAGATTGAAAAACTGAGGCTAGACTTGGGAAGCCCTTGGCTTAGCCTGCCACTCAAGCCACCCGTTAAAGACGAGGGCTATTTTTATGAGAGGATGATTTATTCATAAGACATCCATCTATCTCTCCACCCACTTTCCTGTCCCCCACCCTCCCAAAAATGATTCAAGTCTACTCCGTTTTTCCAACCTGTTCCTTCCCGGCCCTTTTTATTCCAAGGGCAGTTTTGAGGCATTTCGTTATAAATTGTGTTCTTCCTAAAGCCCAATATGGTGTTGCAAAAAAAAGGGAGGGGGGCATAAATAGCTTTTTTTTTTTGCAAGAGATGCTGGAAATGGGGAAGAAGGAAGAGGGTTATAAAGGCCTTTATCTTCTCCGCAGGAATATTGCAAAATATAAGTTANGAAGTTGTGAATGCCCCAACACTGGAAGTCTTTAAGAAGATGTTGGATAGCCATTTGTCTTAAACGGTATAGGGTTTCCTGCCTAGGCAGGGGGTTGGACTAGAAGACCTCCAAGGTCCCTTCCAACTCTGCTATTGTATTATTATTGTATTATCTTTTGTTGGTCCATGTTGTCTTACTACCTGTAGTAGTTTTCCTGAACAGCTAATTAGAGAAATTAGCTAGATGTAGTAGCATCAACATCACCTTTAACAGAGGACTGTTCTGAATCCCGCTTTCCATGAATGAGCTTGCTTAATTTAAATTTGGGGGGGAAAAACACATATATGGCTCAATTCAAATTAAGCCACAACACCGAATTGTCCTTGGCTGATCTTGGGTTCTAAACAGAAGTGATGACCCAGTTAGTCCTTGGAAAAGAGGCTCCAGAAATCCCAGAGCTGAAAAGTAGTTTACAAAGTCGAGTACAAATTGGCCAACTCCTTCAACATCTAGGAAACTGTGCTAGGAGTTGAATTTCTCTCTAGGATGGCTTATCTTTCCTTTATTTATAGTATCTGATGTGGCTACTACAGATTGCAGTGGGCAGCTGTGAAACCACCTGCTGTGAAAAAAATACTCCTACCTCCCCCTTTTCTTTTCTTTTTTTTTTGCTTAGATCCAGGGATGTTTTCTGCACCCCAAATGAATTATTCATGTTTTCAATCCGGGGAGTCAGTAGGGAAAATTGCACTCCTCATAGTTACCGTCCTAATAGGAGGAGGTGGTTCATTTTAGCCCTATCCAACACAAAGAATATTTGTACACAAGGGAACAACTTAGAACCAGCAACACAAATATTATCGGGATAAAAAGAGTGGGAGCCACAACGGGGCAATGAATGAAATTGCTCTGCCAGGAACTACAGTGAAATTTTTTTTTAGAGTACCAAGTCTTTTTTTCTATGCTAGTTGGCTTCTCCCAAATATGAAGGAAGGGAGGGAGGGAGGGAATGGGAAGAAGGAATTGGGAAGAAGGGAGGGAGGGAGGGAGGGAGGGAAGGAAGGAAGGAAGGAGGAATGAATTGGGAAGAAGAAATTGGGAAGAAAGGAGATGGGAAGAAGGAAGAAAGGAGAGGGAAAGATGGAGAGAAGGGAGAAGGGAAAAAGGAAGGAGGGGAAAAGGAAGGAAGGAGGGAGTGGGGGAAGGATTGGGAAGAAAAAAGAAGAGGGGAATAAAGGAAGGATAGGGGGAAGGAAGGAAGGACTGGGAAGAAGGAAGGAGGTGGAAAAAAGGATGGAAAGAAGGAAGAAAAGAAGGAAGGAGGGGAGAGGAGAAGGAAGGAGAGACAGGATAAGGGAGGGAGGGAGGGCCAGCCTATGTGAAGGTCAGAAGGATAAAGACCCAGAGAAGCCCCCTCCTCTTACCTCTGCGGCTTCCTTCTCGAATTTCTCGATGGTCCGCTTGTCGATGCCCCCGCATTTGTAGATGAGATGGCCGGTGGTGGTGGACTTGCCAGAGTCTACATGTCCAATGACCACAATATTGATGTGGGTCTTTTCCTTCCCCATATTTCCTCCTTTGGCAGAGGCCTGGGCTTACAGGGGGCGGGCAGGGGAGGAGGGGGCTGATTTGAGCTAAAAAGGGTGGAAAAAGACGAAGCAGCGGCTGCGAGGAAAGGCTGTGTGCAAAGAAAAAGAGGAGGAGATCAGGAGGGTTGTTGTCAGGAGCAACAAGAACACAACACAGAGCCACATAACACCATCCTGCCCAGCCTTCGGTTCCACAGGCCAAGAAAACCCATGTCCCTCTGTCTGTCTGTCTGTCTGTCTGTCTCTGTCTCTCTCTCTCTCTATGTTATAATAACATTAAGCCTCTTCTTCAGCCATTACATTTATTGCTTGAGAAATTTCAGATCCAGATTTTGGATCAATCCCTCTTCAAGGTTTTACCAAACTTTTCCTGCCTCCTTGACTGTCTGTATCTCACATTCCAAGTTCATTGTCTTATTGCATCAAAAATATAAGCAATGGCTTACAGAATATGGACTGCAAGTGAGTGCAGTTGTTTGTTTGTACGAAAGACCCTGGAGAAGGTGAAAAGATAAACCAGAGCTTTTAAGATGAGAAAGAGAAATACACACACACACACACACTGGACACAATTTCTAAAGTGAAAAATGAAACACCAGGAGGCTTAGGCTGTGCAGCTTACGCGAAAGAGGTCAAATAAAATGGAATGAAAAGTGGCAGCAAATTATTTTATATGACAACGAAGATCTAATTCCCCAAGCTTAGTACTAAAATCCTTAGCACTAATATCTTGTGGTTTATGAAAATTGAGAGAGAAAAGGCCTCTCATTATTCATCTCAAAGGAAGGAAGGAAGGAAGGAAGGAAGGAAGGAAGGAAGGAAGGAAGGAAGGANGGCGGGCGGGCGGAATACAAATGCCCGCTAATTGAAGGGGCACGACGGGGCACTCACCGGCCGGCAGCAGGTGGACAGCACGACGGGGCGTCCGAGATGCGCAAGCGAAGCGCGCACCTCTGCTGGTCCGGTTCAGGGGATGGGGATGGGGGAAATGATGCGTTCCCACGACCTGCTGGACCCAGGTCAGCAGGGGAAGAAAGAGAGAGAGAGCAGAGATGCCCGGCTTGGTTCTTTTTGGGGAATTATTATTGGATGGCTGGGAAGAGGGTATTGGGCATGGGAATGGGAGACCTCGCCCGTTGGGTACCGGGAAAAGGTTCAACGCGGAGAACTGGGGAAGGTGGGATTCAGTTTCCCCGGGTTAGAGAGGTCGTGTGAATGCTCTCTTGGTGCGTGCGGGGATTGTCAAACGCGATGGATCTGGGTTGGCGGGTGGACTCAAGCGCATCGGGCAAACTCAGAAACCTGGGGAGGGGTGGGTGTTGGAATTCCGTTTCCCCGTGTTTAGAAGGGTCGTGTGGATGCTGTATTGGTTCGTGTTAGGGATTTTCAAAAGCAGATGGATCTGGGTTTGTGGAAGGGTTCAACGTCCGGGGCAAATTCAGAAGATGGGGAGGGGGAGCCAAAGGGGCAATTGAGTGAGCCTTGAGGTGTCCTGTGAACGCAGAGCAGCTGGCTTTGTTAATGTGGGGGTGTCAGATGAGATGGCCTTCCTTCCCTTAAGGAAGTTGGGAAGGGAGGGTGTTTGACAGGACTATTTAAATAAAGAACCATAAAGGCACCGTTAGAAGATGTCAAAGAAGATGATCACAGCAGCCAAAGAGGAAAAGGGGAATGATTATGATATCCTTTTAGACCTGCTCCAAAACTTAATGAAAAGGAGCGGAGTTGGGGCAATTGCCTATCAAGATTTATTGACAAAAGGAGGGGAGGGTCCTGTCTTTGTAGCTAGCTTTGTGGGAGCCCCAAAACGTCACCCATTGATAATTTTAGGATATTCCATGAAGGAGGAAATACATTTTGTTCGAAGCTCATTGAATTTCCCCATTCAACAGGCAGATTTTCTTCAGTGCACAATCCGACTGTGCGGGTATTTCAATCCTGCAGGATCCAATCTGGGTTGGATCACTGGATCCATCATTTCAATCTTGACATGGAGTACCTAAGCTAGTAATTCTATGCACCAAAGCATTCATGTGTATGACTTTTACTTATCCTAAAAGGTGGATTATAGGTAAAGGTTCCCCTAGCACATATGTGCTAGTCGTTCCAAACTCTAGGGGGCGGTGCTCATCTCTGTTTCAAAGCCAAAGAGCCAGCACTGTCCGAAGACGTCTCTGTGGTCATGTGGCCAGCATGACCAAATGCTGAAGACGCACAAAACTCTGTTATCTTCCCACTAAAGGTGGTCCCTATTTTTCTACTTGCATTTTTACATGCTTTCAAATTGCTAGGTTGACAGAAGCTGGGAGAAGTAATGGGAACTCTCTCCGTTACACGGCGCTAGGGATTCGAACGGCCAAACTGCCGACCTTTCTGATCGACAAGCCCAGCGTCTTAGCCACTGAGCCACCGCGTCCTGTAAGCATCCTTAATTAACCTAAAAGGTTAATTACGGGGTGGTAATTGGATTCTGCAATTTTAAGATGTGTGGGCTTCAACTCCCAGAATTCTCCACCCAGCATGGCTGACAGAGGAATTCTGGGTGTTGAAGTCCACACATCTTAAAA